TGGGACTGTAAAGCACTGGATCTGCAAAAAGGCTGAAGCTTATTGCTTACACACAAGACATCTTGCTGAGGCTTTTCAGGTAGGACCACTGTGGTTTGCACATGTGCAATTTTTACTGAATTGTAGCACTTTGTCCCTTTCTTGCTGTTGAGTGTAATGCCATGAGAAGGAGATAGAATTGCAAAGGGAAATGTTCTGAAATACCTGATCTACGTTGCACACTCAAAATTCATGCTGGACACTCAGGCAAAAAGTAGGCAAAAAAATAATACCAAAAGGTGCTTTGCATCTTGCAAAGTTTTATTCAGCTGTGTTAATAACTTATTGTACAAGTTTAAAAACTAACAAGACCGATTCCTTGAGTTTGAGTAAAAGTTAGCAAGAGTAATAAGTTGTAACATAAATATTAGTTTCATGTGTTGAATAATGGAAAGCAGTTCTTTGGACGCCAAAGAATTCCAAAATAATTGTGTTTAACACTGAATACAGACAAAAATTTTGGTGTCTTAGAAGGAATCCCAGCCCTGCCCACTTCTTAGTGGTTGATTTTCACCACTGAGTATCTCAGCTTGTCAGTCAGAAAGGCAGGTAACAGGAGAGTAAATATGGAAGCAGGTAATTCATGTGTTTACATTCTGTGATATGATCTCGGTGGCTGTTGCTTATCTGTTTGTTAGTCATGCTGAGAGCTGAACCAGACAGGAAAGAAAACTCCCATCCTCACTAGAGGGGTGTTTCTTGCTCTGTGTTGACACCTCAGTCTGTTTTTTGGCTCTATCCATGATTGTGTCAGGCAGAGCAGCTCGATGCAGGCCATGGAATCAATCCCTTGGCTTCTCCTGTAGTAGAAAATACGTTCCCTTGATTTATAGATTGGCTTTAATTGAAAGTGTATCCCAAGCCTGGGATATGGAAAAAGCCTTTTTCCCCTGTTGGGGCTGGGGGGTTAAATTTAATGCCATCCAGGGAGCTGTGGCTCCACTCTGGAGCTGTCTGGGCTGCTTGGCTCTGCTTGGGCTCTGAATTAAAACTGAAGTGGTGGGAGCAGCCAGATATGCACCCAACAGCTGTCCAAGGAGCAGCAATCTGGAAGGGAGGAAATGGTGTGAAAAGAGACTTCCCGAGGGCTGAGTAACCCCTGACTCTGTGTAAAGTCTGAGTTAAGGCTGAGTTACTCCTCTGGCCCATCTCAGCAATTTGTTGGCAACAAGCAGTAGGGCTGCACAGCCAGTTCCTAGGAAGCCAAAATTTATCATATGGTAAAAAAAATTCGAAGGTCTTAAAAAAATTCGAAGGTCTTTCTTAAAAAAATTCGAAGGTCTTTCTTAAAAAAATTCGAAGGTCTTTCTTAAAAAAATTCGAAGGTCTTTCTTAAAAAAATTTGAAGGTCTTTCTTAAAAAAATTTGAAGGTCTTTCTTAAAAAAATTTGAAGGTCTTTCTTAAAAAAATTTGAAGGTCTTTCTTAAAAAAATTTGAAGGTCTTTCTTAAAAAAATTTGAAGGTCTTTCTTAAAAAAATTTGAAGGTCTTTCTTAAAAAAATTTGAAGGTCTTTCTTAAAAAAATTTGAAGGTCTTTCTTAAAAAAATTTGAAGGTCTTTCTTAAAAAAATTTGAAGGTCTTTCTTAAAAAAATTTGAAGGTCTTTAAAAAAACTTCTCCTTTGCTGCTTGTGTAATGCTATGAAGTTATACAATCAAGTAGAGCAAATAAATCCTCCCTTTCCCTAAGCTACTTTCTCAAGGTACTCATAAACCCCTCTTTTCTTTTCTCTTTTATTGCCCTATTTGCTAGAGTTTGGGAACTTATTAACTCATATGCTTCGATCAGGTCTGTAGTACAAAAGCTGGGGGAAAAGTTAGTAAATAAAAGTTAATCTTTGGTAATGTTTCTTCTTTTACCAATAAGGAGGCCACAAAGTTATGAAAATCAGTAACAAGTATCAAGTCTAGGTATAGGAACTCTCCCCCATTTCTTGATAATAAATTATTTTTGAGTTGGCTTCCTGAAGGAATTATTATCAATTAATAGGAAGAACAAGTGACTGGAACACAGGATTACCTGGTGGGTTTTGGTGGCTCTGCCATGGATTTACTTGAACAAACCACTTCTCTTCTGTGTGCTGCTGTTTGCCAAGCTGTGACAGACTTTTCTGCAGACAGGGAAGCTGTGGGAGCAAATAAGTGAAAATGTTTGGGAGTTCTTCCTTTATAGATCATGAGATTGCTGCTTAAAAACCTACACTTGAAATATACTTTTCTGGAAGTATAAATATATGAAAATATGTATTCATGTATGTATTAAATATGTCTAAAATATTCTTCCAGTGGACAGTGCCCCAGGGTTGTGTGAGAATGAAGGTGACTCATGTCTGTCTAGATGGGTGGAACCAGATCAGACATAAAGCATTTTTAAAGTGGAAAACCCTTAATTCACAACCTCTTTCCAATGAAATCCTCTCTCGCTTTCTACCCTTCTATTTTTCCCCTTGTATTGGTAATTTTTCTGAATGAACTTGTTAAAAATAACCCAGCAGGTAAGTAGCAGCAGGCAGGAATCCACGGTGTACAATCCAGCATACATATTTTACATCCAGCTTTTCAAAGGTTGCTATGACTCAGTCTCTTAGTTAATTGTGTTTTCTGACAGCTTCAAGACTACTTAATTTAGCTTTCACTGCTAACATAAAATCTGACTGTATTAAAATAGAACAATTAGAGCAACCTGGTGGAAGGTGTCCCTGCCCATCTTTAAAGTCCCTTCCGACACAAACCATTTTATGCTAATATTGAAGTTTTTAAATTAAAGCTATTTTCTCTTTTTGTTTAGTGAGAAACTGAAGAGATCACCCAATATCAGTGTTCAGTGCTTGCACTTGGAACCTTTATACCTGACACATTTTTTTTCTTGTGAGCCCACCTACCATGGCTGGGTGAATGTAGGCTGCTGGCCATCACTAAAGAGGAAGAAAAGCAGGCAGACAGCAGTGACTGTAAATTTCCACTGAAGGAAAACAGGAACCTGCTTCTGAGATGTCCTTCTTTGTGGTTTTTTTTCTGTTAAGTCCTTGGGTTCTTCTAAGGAATAATTAATGAAAAGACAGTGTTAATGCACACAGTTGAAAGTTTTAATATACTGCTTTTGTCTACGCTGAATTAACCCAATTCCATCACAACTTCGGGAATACTCAATGATAAATCCTGTCTCTTTGGTAGGTTAACTAGCAGTTCTGTAACAAACATCCTTCTTCTGGCTGTATTAAGTGGCCTGCCATTATTCCTGATCATTTTAATTATTTTCTGCCATGATGATTGTTCTCCATTGAAAGCATTCTCAGTAAGTGGCTTTTATTTTGCTCACTCTGAATCTTGTTGGCTCTGCCTGATGCATCTGATCTTTTTAGAACTGAGCCTGTAAAAGTCCACTTACAGCCAATTTAACAGATTTAAAAGTAAAATGATCTCTTTAGAATCTCAGTCCTAAACTTCACCAGTGGTACCCATATCCATATCCAAAGAGTGTATGGGAGTTATACCAGTATTTTAGGAAGTCTTTCTAACTGGTGTAACTTCCATTCTTTACACAAACCCCTTAGGATAGAGTTTTCACCTTCTTTTTGCAGCTATTGTGCTACAATTAATCCTCTCTATTAGAGGCCTCAGCACAGACTCTCTACATGATGTTTTCTGAGACTTTTTCTTTGATTGCTCTGTGGGTTTTCTTGTACTTATTGCATAAGTGTTTTTCTTTTGGGACTCATGTAACACTGAATCTATCCCTTGGTAAATATGTGTGGGATACTTTAAATTTTTATTTAGGGCTCGAAACATCATTATTTATTTTTACTTTTTATCATGCTCCCATGAAAAAAAAAAGCAAACCTAAAAGTTAAGACTTCTTGTGGCAATAGGGGAAAGATCATTAAACTACAATCCTGTTAGGGTATACAAATTAATATTGTGAATTAATATGAACTGTTTCCACTTTATAGGTGTTCCAGCATGGGTTTTTTTACCTGAAACACTGCTGTGCTGAGCACGTTTGACTGTGTTGGCTGATGCTGGGTTTGATAGCAGCCTCCAGCTGCCTGAGCTTTGCTGATAGTGCTGGAACATTATTAGTGACAGATGATCCGAGGGCCACAAACTGTGACTGCAGAGACTGAGCCTGCACCGGATGCTGCTTCCCCAGGTGGGTAGGAACAGGAGCCAAGATCTCCGTTAGGGAGGATTTACAGACTCAGCTCTTCCCAGCTCTGCACCTGCTGCTGGGCATCCCTGTTGCTGAGGAGGAGCTGTGCCTCTGGGATTTAAAATCATTTAATAGCCTTTGTGTTTGAAAATATGGTTTTGGGTGTTTTTTTTTCCTCCATGGCTGGGTCCACACTGGCCCTTCCTTCACTCTTTGCTTGTGTTAACAGCTTTCCTTAAAGACCCTCTCCCAGCCTTGTTCAGAAAGGCTTTACCAGACTCAGTGAGACCAGCCACGGATGTGTCCCACTCTTATTTCTAGCGCTGTTTTACAGACTCACAGAATGGTCTGGGTTGGGAGGGGGGACTTTGAAGATCATTTATTTCCACCCCGTGCCGTGGCAGGGAACCTTCCACTGGGCGGGTTTCAACCTGGCCTTGACGCCCTGGCAGGGATTTGGGCGACACGCTTCTCTGGGTAGACCGCGTTCCAGACTCGGGAAGAATGTCCTGACTATCTGCAGCCTTTCTGCTCAGCCCCAAAATTCTTTTGTTCCGACCGCGGCGGGCAGGCCGAGCCCCGCGCTTCCGGCGGAAGAGCGGCTGCGGGGGCGGAGCGGGCGGGCCCGCCCCGGCACCACATGATGCCCTCTCTTCTGCCGGCCGTCCCGAGGCCGAAAGGGGAGTGGCTGCGCTCCTCCCGTCCCCGCCCCGCGCGGGAACGCGGCCCCCTCGCCCCCTCGGCCGGGGGCGGCCCCGTCCCGTCCCGCCCGTCCCGTCCCGCAGAGCGCCCCGGCAGCGGGGCCGGGGCCATGGCGCGGCGGGGGCGATGCCGCTTTTCCGGGGTTTGGAATGGCGATGGCCGGTTCCTGCTGGTCCTGTGGTGGCCGCGCTGTTGCCCGGCCGCTGCCTTCAACTGTGACGTGAGCGCCCGGCCGTTCCTCGGTCCGGGGGCAGCCTCTCTCGCTTCGCCGTGGCTTCTCGCTCCCGACCGTCTTCGTACGAGATTTGCCCGCGCGTCCTGCCCCCGCCGAGCCGCCTCCGGCGGCGCTGGAGGGCCGGGCCGGTGTTGTCCTGGTCGGAGGACGGGCGGCGAGCGGCGGCCGGAGCAGCGCCCTGGTGCCGCTGTCCAGCGGGCCGGGAGCGCCCGGGATGCTCTGCTCAGGCCCCCTCGGGGCTCGGATGGAGCACGTGCGGGCCCCGTCCCAGGCCTAGCCGAGCAGGGGACCGTCCGCATCGCTCCCTCCGGGGCGGCTCTGGATGCTCAGACCCCCTTCCCGGGGAGCCAGACCCAGTCCCGGGCTTCAGCACTGTGGGATTCTCTGCCAGCCTGGTCTTATGCAGATGGTGGTAATGGTAAATACAGTGTAGGAAGGTGAAGGTAGGAGATTTGGCTTCCTGAGGTGGCATTTCAGGAGTTCTGCCGTTCTCTGGTTTGACTGCTTTGCGGTGGTGCCGAGTTTGGGTTGTGCGGTGTCTGTGCGGGTCACTGACCTGCTGAGGAGGCAGCAAGGGGAAGGAAAAGTTCCATGTAAGCACCTTCCACATCTGCTTCCTCCGTATGTTCCCGTTTCATGTTAAAGATTAGGCAGTGTGTAGTAGCTGGTGCGTTTCAGACCCTTGAATCCTCGTGTTGCCAGAATGAATCAGGCTGTGGTTCTCAAGTGCGGGGCTGCAGTAACATCCAGATTTTGCCACTTTCCCCCCCACACATACTTCTTTCCCATCTTATGAAAGTGCTGTAAAACTGGAAAAGCTGCTGGCTTTTGTCGTGCTGAGGGGATATTCTCTCTCTCCCTCTTAATCTTTAGCTCATAAACAAGAATATAAGTATTGAGCAAGTCTTTTTGCAGTACATCGTCTAGCCTTGTTTGCATTTCATTAATGCCTACATATATTAGAAGCCGTCCTGTCTTAACTTGCACGTGTTGCACCATCTTTCTGTGCTATCTTAACCCTGTAAGTCTTTGTACTAAAAGAAAAAAGGTTCTATTTTTGTCCCTCCCTGTATTTTTAAGTCAGCATGTGTGGCTGCAGAGTTATCAAGAGACTGGTAAATGCCCGTAATAAACTTTCTTACTTGCTTTCTGATAAGGAATTATGTGACTCAGGTCTCCATGAAATCATTATTTGGAATCTTTCCATTATTTTTATAAGAACTATTGACCTTAAAATGCACTGCTGTAAAAGAGAACAGTGTGGTTTTCAGGCAACATGGTAGACTCCTGTGTATTTGTAGGGGAATTTTTCCTCAGCTTTTTTGTTGTCACTGAATGTTTGTATTTGCTAAGCTAAGCACTTTATCTTACATTTAAGCTCTTAGCTGAAACAAAGTAGCTATGCAACTTTTACGGGAACAGACTCCAGTGGTGTTCAATTTTGAGTTTATTCCCGTGGACACTGATATTTTGCCTCCTGAAGTAGCCAGAAATACTTGTATGCAGGGTTTTGTTGAGCATCATGTGTGTCACTTGGTTGGTTCCTATGCCTTTCTTTTTGCTTTGGTGAATTTTTATCACCTCGTTTCTTTACATGAGTGCGAGAGATCAAGTCAGTTTAGCCAAGCTAAAGCTTGACTGAAGGATTGACTAGCCTGACAACAAAGACATGTTATTAGTTCTTGAATGCTCAAACTGCTGTTTCATAGTCTATTTTGACCTGCTGGATGCCAAACTAAAGCATATTTAGAAGTCCAGGATGGAAGTCCTATTCCAGGAGTGATAAAATCTACTTGTTTGGTCTATGCTGATAGAAACGGGTTTTTTTTACTTTGGGAAATGACGTGACTAAAGCTTTGTTGTGTCCCATAATGATTCCTGTGGTTCTAATCTTATTAATAAACTTCATCACAAAGATTATCCTAAGAAAAATTTAAAATGTGTTATGAGAATGGTAAAGATTTAAGTCTTTAAGCACACATTTCATTTGGGGGTCTTCTGAGAAGCTAGCGGTGCAAGAGTAAAACAGGAGGCAAGCTTGGTAGCTTGTTTAATGGATTGTAATTATAGTAATTGATGTTTTTCTTTACTTGGCATTATGATGTTTATTTTTAAGCACAGAGAGAACATTGTAAGTTGATTAAAGCGTTTTAAATTCCTGTTCTTGAAATCTAGACAGTCTATGAATGGCAACTAAGGAAAACAAATGGGTTGCCAACGAGCCTGGATTTTCTATCAGGGTTCACACCAGGAAATTTTTGAACGTTCTGAAAATTCATGCAGGTTGAAAACTAGTAGCTTGTGTTGGTCTTTGTCTGAACTGAGCTTTGATGAGGTGCTACGTGTTTATACCTGGTGTTTACATGTTAAGAAACATAAACTCAGCTCTGTACCAAAACCAACTTGGAGCTCTTTCCATCTCCAAGCCTGGGGATGACTGTGAAACCAGAGCAAGTTTGATAAGCCTGGATTTGCTTGCCTGTAGACATTCTCTCCAACCAGTCCTGCAGCTTGTTCAGCTAAACCAATTTCAAAACTAAAGAACCATAGTGCCTGATAAATCTTGCTCTTGGAAGCTGGATCCTCTTTTAGGTACTCTAAGGGGAAGCAAGGAGCAGACAGGTTCTGAGGAAAGGAAGCATTTGATTTTATGTCTTCTATGCACTTCTTTATGCTTCAAATTGACTTCCTCAAGTAAGTGCTGATGAGTGAAGTGCATCTCAGACGTCCTGAGGTTCCTGGAAGGTTTTGGAAGACACCAAGAACCTCGTTTGATCCGTTTCTTGCTTTGCAACCTCTGAATTTTGCCAGCTGTGCAGGCGCAGTTCCCGCTCAGGGTGGGCTGAACCCGCCTGTGCAAGCAGAGATGTAAGAAGGCACAGCAGATCCTAATAAGAAAACGATGACTGCCTAATGAATTTCGGTAACGACTCATTAACATACAAATCTGCGGCTGACGGTCGCTTGGGGATTGTTTTTACCAGAGCACTCTCTCGCAGGAGGCTGACTCATCACATTCGGGACATGCTGAGCTCAGAGTGCGCTCCTGCTTTGTTTATACATCGCTTCCATATTTGACTGACTTCCTCGAACTACCCTTACACACAAAATTAACCAGAAATTGTGTCAACTGATGACTTTGGTAAATTACAGAAGTACATGGTTTCCTGTTCCGCTGCATACACAGGGGTTTTTTTAAAGGAAAAAAAAAAGAATATAAAAGGTTTTTATTTAATTTTAGGTATCGTTTTAAGTAGGATCTATCTTCTTTATCTTCTTCTTCTCTATCTTCTTTGTCTCTTCTTTATGGTAAACGTTTCTGGGGTTTTTTTTGCCTGCTTAAGGACCCAAGATCTAAGACCTCCCATGAATTTCTCTGAAACTCAGAGTAGTTCTACTCAGATTTATATTTGAGTGGGCAAGGCTTTTGCTGTATTAACTCTTCAGGTGTCATAAAGTGATAACACCTGTACCTTAGTTGTCTAAACTTTTGTTTTATTTCTTCTTTTTGCTGCAGGACGTATCTTCTGGTGGGAGCTCCGAAGGCAAACACCACCCAGCAGAACATCGTGGAAGGAGGGCAGGTGCTCAAATGTAACTGGAACTCCAACAGGAACTGCCAGCCCATCATATTTGACGACACAGGTAACCTGGGGGTCACTGTGAGGGGAGATGAGCTGCCTCTGCTCTACTGCTGCTGTGGGGAAGCAGAAGGGATCCAGGTTCATGGGGGATTTCTTCATGGTCAGCGTTAATGAGGCCATTTTTTGACTGACAACTCATCAAGGCCTGTTTGTTTTTTCTTTTTCCTCTACTGTCTTTTTTAGAATTTTGTTGCCCTTGGTGTGTGCTGAAAGCCTGAGTGAGCAAACATTGTTCTTCTTGTGTTTTAATCTATTTATATTTCCCCTCTGTACTTTACAACGATCATAAAACATTTGGCAACCTAATTAATTCCCAATAAACCCCGAGGGATTTTTTGCCTGTTAAGAATGTGACATGTGAGAAAAGATACTTTTCAATATCAGTAAAGGTGGTATGGGCAGAAATAGAAGTTTCATCTGAAACCAGGAGCATAAACTAACAACTGTGGAAAAATATGGGATTTTTTAGTTTTTTCCCCTCAGATGTAGCATCATAATATTTGTGGCATCTGTGATAGCAGCACTCAGGTACCTCAGGTCAGAGGCATTCCTCACCCATTTTCTGAAGCCCAGAAAAGCCAAGCAGCAACAATGTGGACATTAAAGATTTCAGTCACTCTTCATGCTCTGGTGCACCCAGTGATTCCCACAAGCTGTGGCAGGTCATGTGAGAACACACTGCATGTGCTTTTCTGCTCCAGCCACTCAGGGTTGGATCCTGTTTTCCAGTGGAAAAACCTTCCCGTGTCATGGGAGTGGATTAGCAAGACCCATGTGGTGAAGGAGAGGAAGCACCTGTGCTGTTAAGGTCTGGTTGGTTAAAATTCCTTCTTGCCTCTGTTTTGACTTGTCAGTCTAAAGGCTCTTAGCTTGATGCAGCCTTTGTAAATCCTGACAATGCAGTGAAGAAACTCTTCTTCCCATTCCTTTGCCAAGGTGTGCCACAAAATAATGTTGGTGTTCAGATTCAATTCTCTTGCAAAAAGAAAGAAAAAGAAGGTGGTACATAATGGTACAGACAAAACCCAAGTTGTCATCAGTCTCCTTAGTTCACTCTGCAGGAACATTTCTGTCACATCACTGAAGATCTCTCCTAAGCTGCTAAGTGTGACATTTTGTCTGATCAGTGTCAGGCAGAAAAGTTGCTTTTAATTTATTGTTTGTTGTTTTGTTTATTTCAATTTGGGCTTATTGTTAAACAACATGTTTGTATTCCAGGAGGTTGGTTTTTTTTTCTTTAAAGAAAGAATCTAGCTGTCCCTAATTATTAAACATCACTAATATTATAGCAAAAAGAAAACTTCTGGTGGGGAAAGATGGGCCGCTCAGGTAGGTTGTAGGTGCATCTTCCAATGGGAATTGCAGTGCATTTGTCTGTTTATACTGTGAATATTTGCTTTTACATGTGCCAGGCAGAGTAGGCAGCCACAGAGGCTGTGCTGCTTTCCTGTGTGTCTGTGTTTAAGGTATTTGCTACTGGGCAAACAAACAGTGTTTTGCTCATCATTTGCCTTTAAGTACCAGGCACGTTAATCACTTGAAATTTAACAGTAAAAACAGCAGGTCATAACAGGCTTGAGAGGATTTATTTCGGGCCTACTTTAACTCATTCCAGCTCTGAGGCAGGGGATGGGGAAATAATGCATTTGTCAATTATTCTCCCGGTGAAAAGGGGCATTGTATTTCAGCACCATAAAATAATAAAGACCCTGAGACAAAAAAAAAACGTCTTTTTCTCTGTCCATAATGACAATGGTCGATTCCCTGCGTTCTGGTGACAGTGTCACTGCCCACACAGTGTAAACCCCCACTCCTGCCTGTCCCTGCCTCCGGAGGGAACAGGGGCTGGGGAACACTTGGGATCCACCTTGAGGAAGCTGGAAGTGGAAGATTTGACCACTGACTTGTGGTGCTGATGCAAAGGGGATTTTGGCAGATGACTAAATGCGACCTCTGCAAGAATTCAGGTTCATCCATCACTGCTTGAAATGGCTGTAATATGATTTGTAACTCCAGAGGTATTACTTAGCCCTGCAATACAAGGCAGATTTTTTTTTATCCCCCTCCCCAGATTATTTAGCTGGTTTGTTAATGGAAGAAGCAGCACAGGTTCTGCATCATTACTTACATATGTTTCTTCAGAGTTCTTTTCTGATTTTTTTACAGCTAGTGTGGAACCTGACCTGTGAAAATAGGTTGTACTCATGACTTTCCCCTGTTTACTTGTCAATGCCAAACCCCATATGTGGAGCTGGATCCCCCATAATTAGTAGAAGTCATGCCCATATTCCTTCTCCTGCTCCCCTCTGCCAGGTAGCACAGCTGGAGATCCTGGGCCAGTCCAAGGCACTGTGTCCTGGTGGCAGTGTGTGAGCACAGGGCAAGGCTGTGGTTCTGTGCTGGGAACATGAGAATAGAGGAGAGAGCAAGGCTTGTTCTGTGTGACCTTATGTTTGTCCCCTTTGTCTCATGGTTGTATCACAAATAAATATGAGAGTAGGGTTTTAGAGCAGTCCAGAAAGCAAGTTTTTTTTCTCTATATATTGTTATTAATACTAATAGTATTACTATTACTTCTTCTTGAACATTCCAAGGTTTTTATTGGAGCTTTTCCCTAGCTTTATGAGTCCTTTTCTCTTCCCCATCTCTACAAAGGCCACACTGAACTCAGCTGCACAGCAGTGACTGCATGGAATTGGGTTTTATTTTCTAACTCTTGCTCTTACTCTCTAATGTATTTGCACAGCAGAGTGGTCATTTATGGGAGCAAATGCCAAAGCTCTTACATAGCCCAGGAGGGAAGGTGCCAGCTGCTTGATGTTAATCTTTGGAGGAGTTGTTCCAGCCCTTAGGTTGCTTGTTGCTTGCATTTGCCCTCAGCTCCCCTGGAGGAAAGGGATAAGTCATTAAGCTGATATTTCCTGTAGTATGGAATTTACTACTTTGTTTATTCCTTCCCGTGGGTGACCACTCAGCTCTGCCAGGATGGAGCTGGGCAGGAGGAGTCCATTAGTGGAACTTGTGTAGCTCTTGTCCTGAAAATATATGTATTTCCCTCTTTCTCATGCTCTCCTCCCTGCCCCCCACCTGTGACATAAACAAAACCCCAACATTAAAGCATATATAATAATTTTTAAACTTCTGGCTAAAAAAAAAAAAAAAATAATGTTTTTTCCCTGTTCCTACACAGCATATTTTCTCAGTTGAAAAAGCAATATGTTTCATAGGATCATAGAATGGTTTGGGTTGGAAAGGACCTTAAAGATCATCTAGTCCCAACCTCCTGCTACCAGGGACAGGGAAAATTCTCAAAGGGGAAGGGGGATCTCCCAGCACAATGGTTACACTCACATAAAAAAGTCCACTGGAGAATCCTCTTGTCTGTGTGTCTGTGTGTGCTGCTGTGCATATTATACTAATTGCTTTTGGCATTCTGGTCTCTTATGGTGGCTTTGGAAGGCAAAATGTTTGTATCACACATTAACACTTCCCAAATGTAAAGATGCTTCGCTGTGGGGCTTCTCAGCCTTTGAGCACTACCATCACTTGGGTTTGATTTAATGTAGTCATGATGACTGTGTCAAAATTGCACAGAGGACACGTGTGGTAGAACGTGCCCTCAAATTCAGGGGTGCCTAGAGCTGTGCTGCATGTGCTCGTGTCTAGGGGGCCAGAAAGGGAGGATATTTTCTAAAAAAAAAAGGCTTCCAAGTATCATTAGGCTTCTCCTTCAGGCTGCCTTTTGCTCTTAGAAGCATGTAAAGATTAAGACTGAGAAAGGACCCAACCACCAAACCAGCTTTCTCACACGCCCCACGCACACCTTGGTTGGTCCTGGTGCCAAACTGAGCTATGAGTGGCAGGGCTGCTGTTACTGTAACAGGTAATCCTGCAAGCTGAGGTAGAATCTCATTGGAAAACTCTTTTTTTACTTTGTTTCTCTTTACCTCCTTAATTCAATAGCTGAAGGTGGCTCTATCACAGAACTGAAGTTTCTGCTCTTTGTGTTCTTGTGTATCTTGACCTCTTGCTACAATTGCCTCGGCATTACCACAATTTCAGTTGAATCATTATGTAAAATCCTTGGGATTTTTCCCCCTCTTTCTCAGTTAACTTTCAGAGTTTCAGAATGTGTAGGAGGCCCCATTTTTTCAGGACAACCACTGAGGGGAAATTTATATATACTCAAGGTGGCGTGTTCTTCATAATTGTCACAAGCAGAATCCCTTATAGCAATAAATCCCTTTCTTTGCAAGATGTTGCTAAGATTTCACATTCAAATTATCAAAAATCATGGGTTATAGCCCAAGGTGGGTAAATATTTATCTTCATGCATTCTTATCCGTTCTCCACACTAGATAAATTTGTGACAGAAAATTTAGTTTATTTTTTTTGTTTGTTTGTTTTAATCTACAAAAATAGGGAAATGTTCTGAATTTTGTCAAAAAGAAAGTATTTGGTAAAGCAATTGGTGAAAAAGCTGCTCTTATTGCTAGCCAAGCCCTTGTACTACTCTTTCTGCAAGGCTGACTGGAGAGGTAGCTCCACTCTTAAGCTGAACAGTTGCTTCATCTGGCAGCTGCTTCACAGCTTTTTCCAGGAAAAACACACTTCTTGTGGATGAACTGTAACGGGAATTCACTTCATGCAGCAGCCCATTTTCTGTTTCTGATCAGTTCTGAGAAAAAGGTCCGAAACCTTTTTAAAGACACATCAATCTCCCTTCCCTTGGGTCCTTCCACAGCCTTCGTGGGCTGCAGAGCACCGTTTTCACAGGTACTACCAAATATTCCCAACAGGTTTTCAGTGATCTTGCTCAGGAAAGAGATTCTTCAAAACTGAAAAGGTTTCCCACAAGCTTAACTTAATTTGTATAGCTGTCCATTTTTTGTGTATAAAATTAAACGCGTCTTTTTATGTGCAAGAGGAGGATCAAAAGTTCACTGGGCCAGACAACAAAACCAGTGAGCAGAGGGGGGGGTCAAATGTGCTTTTTAGGAA